ACAGATAAGTGAGTTTTGAAAAATACATATACTCAGACAGCCCACACCTGCACTGACATATCTTGATAGGGAAGTGTGTTACATAGGTGTGTGCATCTCCATCATCCCAGAATATATACTCATGAATCTTCCCAGTCAACCCCTAATTTATTGCCTGACTCAAGCAATCATTGTAATACTTAATTTACTATAGATTATAGTTTTATGTACCCTGGAACTTCATATAAATGGAATGATGCAGTAAATACTTTTGTCTAGCATCTTTTAAGGAGCTCAGGTGACACAATGGTTAAGTGTTCGCCTGCTAACTGAAAAATTGGCAGTTTGAACCCACTATCTGCTGGAGGGAGAAAAGATCTAACAATCTGTTCCTCTAAAGATTACAGCCTAGGGAACTCTATGGGGACACTACCACTCTTGTCTTATAGTGTTGCTATGAGTTGGAATGGACTGGATGGCACACAACAGATATCTTTTACTCAACACAGTGTTTTTTGATTCATCCATGTTGTTTCATGTATCAGTAATTCTTTCCTTTTTATTGCTCAGTACTGTTCCTTTAAGGAGCTTTGGTAATGTGGTGATTAAAGCATTTGGCTCCTAATCAAAACATTGGCAGTTTGAACCCACCAGCTGCTCCATGGGAGAAAGAAGAGTCAATCTGCTTCTATAAAGATTTACAGCCTTGGGTAATCCTACTTCTGTAGTGATACTGCCTTGGAAACCCAAGGAGGGGTCGCTATGAGTTGGGGCTGACTCGACGGGGCCGACTCGACAGGGCCGACTTGTCGGCACATAACAGCAACAAACAACAATGTACCAAAATGAGGGATTAACACAGTGGCAATGAGGAAGAGGAAGACATAGAGAGGTACATGGGAAGTATAGACATCTCTTCCCACTTCCTCCCTGTAGTTACCTCTTCCCTGTCTCCTTCCTCCCAGGCACCCCCACCCCCACCCCAAGCTATATCCCTGTGAACCCTTTCGCATATACAGTACTGCATTGTCAGTGATGGCAAGCATTGATCTTTGGGTTGGATAGATGGGTGGACAGGCTGAACCATCAGGTATGTCTAGGCAGAGGGGAGTATGCCCATGACCATATATAGGGTTGATAGACGTGTTTCTACATGCATATTTGTATGTGCTGTGAGAATGTCCAGGTGTATAGTAGAGCTGACAAGGGGCAAGGTTGTGATGGCTTCTTGGCCAGAGCGAGGTAACCTGAGGGAGCGAGTAGTTGGACCTGTGGGCTCAGGACCATGGTCGCAGTGGACATCAAGCTCAGTTAGCATAGCATATTACACAAAAACATTATT